CTGTCATCACTGCAGAAATGTGCTACCCACCACATCACTGTGCTCACATCCACTGTTTGGATGCAGATAAGTTTGAGAACCCATGTACTACGGTATTCAATTGGCTGACATCATCAAAAGAATTCTCTCAATTATTTTTCAAGGGTCTTGGGACTCTGGAGAGGTCCCAGTCAGCTGGCAAATGATCCAATTTTCAAGAAGGTCAAGAAAAAAAATCCTGGTAATTACAGGCCTCCCAGTCTCACTTCAGCGTCTGGAAAAATTAGGGAGAAAATTATTCTGGGAATTATTGAAAAACATCTCAAGACAGTGAGGTCATTGGTCACAACCAGCATGGATTCATGAGGGGAAGGTCCTGTTTCACTAACTTAATTTTGTTTTATGACAAGATCACCCATCTAGCTGACCAAAGGAAGCCAGTTGGTGTTATCTTTCCAGATTCAGAAAGAAAAAAATGCCTGGCACACAGCTGGACAAAAAATGTGATGGGTGAGCAAGTGGCTGACAGCTTGAGCCCAAAGATCTATAGTTAGTGGGGTTACATCAGGCTTGCAGCCAGTCACTAGCAGGGTTCCCCAGGGCACCTTTTTAGGGCCAGTTCTCTTTAATGTTTTCATAAGCTGGACTGGAAAGTGTTTTGGGCAAGTTAGCTGACAATACTAAATTGTAAGGAACTGTTGACTCTGTCAAGGGTGGAGAGGCCTTGCAGAGAGATCTAGCCAAATTACAGAGCTGGGCATTCACCATCTACATGAAGTTCAACAAGAGCAAGGACCAAACTCTGCACTTGGGAATGGGCAACCTGGGCTATATATACACACTGGGGGATGAGATGCTGGAGAATAGCTCCTTGCTGAAAGGGAGCTGGGAGTTCTGTTCAACAGCAAGTTTAACATGAGTAACAGTGTGCCAGGCAGCCAGGAAGGCCAACAGTATCCTGGGGTGCATCAAACATGGCACTGCTGGATGACTGAGATGAATGATTTTGAGCTCCATGCTGGGTGCATTTTTGGGCTCCATGTCAGACACCATTATGTCAGACTGCCCCTCTGCTGCCATCTGTCATATGGCACCAAAATGTAACTGAACATTTGTGAGAAGGTTCAATTTTTACTGCCATACCACCAGCATCCACCTCTGACATCGTGGGCCAACATAATAAAATAGGAGGCATTGCTTTTGTAGCAGCTTTCATATTTAATGTGTTTTTTAATATGTTCCTTGGACACCTTTCTCAAGGGACATTCAATCTGACAACCAAATACTCTGATAAATCACAGAACTGCAGTGAGTTGTCCAGAAGGAACGGTTCACTGACCAAAGACATCAGTGATGGCATTTTCAGTCAAACAAGTCAGGAAATGTTCCAATTTGCCCCTTCAAAGATCTCCTGGAAACAACCAAACCTACAATTATGGTAGCTGAAGAACATGATCTGTTTTGATTACGCATTCTTACAAAAGGTGAGAATGGCAGGGGTTTGGATCTTACAGCCCATGGTGCTCCATCTCCCTGAGCAGATCCAGGGGCCGAGCGGCACTCCATCCAATGCAGCTACAGGCCTTCAGGCACGCACAGGAGATATCCTAACCCCCGATCAACCTTTGTCTCTGCCTCTCCTACTAAGAAAGGGGATTAACTGGTAGGATAATCAGACATTGTTTACTCTGCTATAGCTCATGTAGCAAAAGATTAAGGCCAAGATGTTAGTAAGTGGGATCCTAAAGTTAGTAAGCCCATACTGAAGCACTTAAATAAATGCCCCATTCTATTTATTTTTAAGTCGCTGACCTCCCCATTGCTCCTGGAGGCTTGGTTGTTGCTCTCTAAATGCAGACGCTCTGATAATCTGACCTGTATATCTTGAGCCAAGATTAGAAGAGTATTACTGGAATAAGAAATTCATCCTAAGGAAGAATTAAAAGTTTGGAAAGAGTTAAGAATAGACAATCACACTCCTCTAATGCCAACTGAGTCAAAACTCCAAGCAAAGTAGAGAAGGAACAGTGAAATGCTAAGTGCAGATGCTTCTTCTATTTGCATTTTAATAATTCAAGAGCTGTATTTATTTATTCATACTAATTGACCGATGAAGTTATGCTGTGGAATAGCTGAGGAGAAACTAATTGCTGTCTCATTTTATTTTAATAGTATATTAAAACTCAGGCGAGACTGGAGACCTCTTCTCGACTTGTCCTGATGTTATCTGCCCTGAGACTCTGGCAGCTGTCCAGAGACTTGTCTGCACTGATATTTAGGACTAACCTTAGGGGTTAGATTAGGTGATAGTGCCTTTGGCTGTAATGGACCACAAATACGAAGCTTGTTTCTGTTTTATATCATTTTTTTCCTCCTTTCCATTTATCTTTTCTTCATTTATGTTCTGTTATAATTTGCTCAGACTGCGCAAAGAAGCCTTAAAGCAGGTGCAGATGAATTCTGAAAAACCCAAACAAGACCCTTTCATACCTTTGGAGTAATTGGGATTTAACTGCAGTAAATCCTGACTATATAATGCAGGCATTCCCAAGCATTTCCAGAACCTCATAATAAACACTCCCACAAGCAAAATGAGACAAAAAAAAAAAAAAAAAAAAAAAAAAAGAGAAGCACAATACTTGTTCAGCTGTACAGTGCTCTCCATCAACTCCTCATCCTCCAGCATTTTCCCTACACAGTTCCCATGATCTCCCGATAGCTAGGTTTTTCCTCCAAAGAAAAGACTGGGCAATTTAGGGACATGGTTTAGTGAGCATGGTGATGATGAGTTGATGGTTGGTCTAGATGATCTTAGTGGTATTTTCCAATCTTAATGATTCTTTGATTCTCTGACTCTACAATTCTATGATTCTATGACTGGGGACCCCACAGCACACCCCTCTCTTTCTCTCACCCATTCCAGCCCAATTGCCACACACAGGTTCCTCATTATCCAGGGGGCCACCAGTATGGCTAACAATAGAGCTCTTCTGTTCTCTGCCCTGCAGCCAGGGCACAGAGTAGTGGGTGAATGGGCAGCTGCACTGTGCCTTGGTGCTTGGCAGGGTCACGGGAAAATTTGAAAATCTGACAGCATCCCAGCCCCTTGCCTCACATTTCTTTGTGGTCACTGTGTTACAGATACACTATCCCATGACAGTGAGCCTAAGATTCGCACCCCTTACCAGCACAGCAAGTGGACAGCACCATCAGCAGCGTGTGGTAGGGTGAATGAATCCCCATGTATGCCAGGCTCAGCTTATAACCTGGCTTATACTATACAGCTAGGCAACAAGCCAGTGCACAAGAACCTGGCGGCATACGTGCCCTTTGCATAGATACAAATAAGCTCAGCAGGTAAAAGGCAACAGGAAGGTAGGTCCTCTGAGTGCAGAGTCTTTCATCTTCCAGATAAAGGACAGACGTAAAAGCAGCCCACAATCCAAGTTGTGCACATTCTTCCTTTGAAGCTCTACCTATCTCCCAGCCCAAACTTTGCCATTTCATGACCTCATTACCTTCCAAGGTCTACTCCTTCAGCATTTAGTCCCTCTGTGGAGTGGCAAGCACTTTCCCTCCCTTCTCAGGAATCTTAATGAACCTTTTTTTTTTATTATCTCAGACATACCAATATATTCAGTTAGGTTTGTTTGAGTGCCATCAAAGTTCTCTTTAGTAGCAGCGGTTTTTTTTTATAGCTGATCATACACAAAACATAAATGCATATAACTTGAGCATCCATGTCATACATGCAGCATAACATGCAGAGCTACACGGGTACCATGTTATTTCGTGAGAAAGATGGCACTCACTATTTTGAACTATGTTAATCCTACATTTACAAAAACTTGGCAAGGACTTTCAAACCCTCTATATGTATAAGCATGATGCCGAAGTGTCTTCCGATCATCGTTCCAGCCCTGATACTTAACAGCTGGGCCAAAAATGCTTCCCTGGCCCTTCATCACTGTTTGATTTCGCCAAGACCAACTGGTTCACATCAATCAAAAAGGCCACTTCAGTAGGAACTATGTCTCATAATTTAAAGAACTGCAGACCTATTTCTTTCTGAGGTGTAAAAAGGACTTGCAAATACTTGGGGAAGGCTGGATGCACAGGGACTTAGCACGGTCCTGGCTCCAAATTTGAGCTTGTCACCCAGCTGCAGCTTAGAGCAGGCAGAACCAGCATAGGACAGCCAGTACTTCTTTTGTAAGATCACCTTTACAGGTATCTTAACACTTTGCTTTTACACACATGTTCTTGCTTTTCTCCCTCAGCCCCTGAGAACCTTAGCAACCCTCTGCAGGTTGGGGGAAGAGAGCAGCCTGTGCCTCTGGAGCTCATGATTTCACCTGTCTGGTATCACTGATAGGATGGAGAGCCTGGAAACTAATCCAGGCAGCAAAGGAATAGTCCCAAGTCTCTCCTGATTGAATGTTAAGAGTTACCAAATGCTAATATTGGAACTATATCTATGCCTAACATTAATCTGAATGTTGAATTCATCTTTAATGGCAATTAGATAGATCTCTGGGGAATTCCTTTTAAAACCAAACTTAAGGGGTTGTAAAATGGAATTCTGGGGGGAGAAAATAATTCTAGAATAAAATGAAGTAGAACTGACTGCTTTGGTTTTGTTGATTGTATTATTAGAGGATTAATATATATATTAAAAAATAAAAAAGAAAGTCAGAATTCATCATTTCGTGATTTGTTGACATCAGGCATCTTCAAACAGCTTTTCCAGCATCTCATTCCCAAGTAATGAAATTTCAAGGACTGACTGGTGCCGTAATGACATCCTTGGACTGTGATAAACAGCAAAATTGCTCCTCAAGAGCACAATTCTACAGAGTACCTAACGTCTCAGGTCATCAAAAAAGGCTGAAATCCCTGTGGGTGAAACTGTGATGCCACCTGGACCTAAGCAATAGCTTCACCAGGACTGTTTTGGATTTTTCTCTTCATGGTGAATGTTGAAAGCCAAGGTGACACAATTCTGTGAGGAAATACGACAAAAATATATGTGAGGTGCCTCATTATGTTTATTCAGGAAAATAGATATTGCTAATTTAAGAAAACAGTCAGATATGAGTCAAATGCTGAAGGCATCTTCCAGCAGTCTCACCACATCCTCACCCATGCACTGGTGGTCTCTCCAGAGCAGAAGATTCCAATTTTGTTGCCAAAAACCTGATGAGTAAGAGTTTGACATCACTCATTTCACAGAAAGGACAGAATTACCCTGTGCTTGACCACACGCAGGCCCACAGCTCTAAGTCTAGAATGGAAGTTCTTCCCTACATCTTCAATATTTAGACTTCGTGGGAAGCTTTCCACAATATCCAGAGATTGAGGAACCTGAGGGTTGTGTTTTGAGTCATGATTTAACCACAGTGAAATACTCACAGGGCATATGCATTTGCAGAAGTAATGGTCCGTGAGAAGACATCTGTGTAAATCTCTAAAAGGTGAGGTAAGTCCTCTAGCATCCGACGCCCTGACACGGAACTATGCAAAACCGAAGTGAGCAGCTCTGTGGGCAGGAAGGCCACATGCTGATAGCTCCAGAACAAGAGTGAAGGTCACATTTTGCTGTTAGCAAGCACTACCTAGAAAAACAATGCAGTACACCTGCCCTCTGAAAAGAAATTCCTCATTTACTTGCGTGACACAAGTTTTAACACATTTGTAAACATGAAGAAGTTGAATTAACCGGCTCTAGAGAGCATTACAATAACTCCATTACCTGCAAAATTACTGAATAATGCAAATATTTTTGAGAGAATATTTCAGCTCTCATGCCAACATTGGCTCAAGAACAATTTCAGACTGATAAATGCATTTTTCTTACTTGTGCAGAGCACACGAACACAATGGATCCTACCTGGGAGCATGGGGCGCTCAGCACATCTCAGCAAGGAAGGCATTAGGGTTGTGTGAAGGCCTTCCTAACTCTGGGCTTGCTCCTTCTTGGTCCTGTCTCTACCATGGCCAATGGCTAATGCCATCACCCTCACAGGGCCACTCATAGTGGTGTCCAGTCCCAGTACTGGAGATGTTCAGGATTCCTCACTGGAATGGGAGGAAACAGCCCCAATGGGCTGTGAAGCTAGGGCCCTAATATGCTAAAGCGAAGGTTTTTTCCACGTAATCTTTACCATCTGTTGTCTTGCACTGAGGTTAATATTAATAATTTATAGGTCTTCTCTTAAGGCTGAGGAAGAAGCAGAATGCTAAGCTCTAACACAGAGGCGGCATCAACTTTTTTTAATGAGATTGATGTTGCTCCGCACGATAGCCTCACCCAGGGAATATATAGCGCTGTTCAGCTTTCTGTTGCTTTGCTTTTATAAATCTTTTCCTGAAAACTGTGGCGCGAGGTATTTATTTTAAGTCTGGCTCCTCCGTTGCTTCTCGTCTACTAAAATAAGGTATGCGGCCTATCTGGTACATCAGCAAAGTGCACTCAAAGGTCACTGGTGAAGCATAAGCTAACAATATAAGAAGCATTATAGGATGCAGTCACTGCCAGGCAAAAGGCAGGGCTCTGCTCCTGCCATGCCAGTGACTGTGTGGCTGAAGTGGCATAGCTGTGCTACCAGTTTAAGCCGGCAGAATCTCCTTGCTATATTTAACCTTGATTTCCTCAGAGACTAAATATGCAAATCGTGATATGTGACTCGCAGCAAACACGGCTTCCATAAGAGAGAGCTAAGTTATAGTTCCAAACAATCAAATCGGCCTTTCCTACTTGCAGGGCTTCGCTTTAATCCCTTACTAACGGGATTACTGGCAGGCTTAGGGTTTGTGCCATCCGGCTCCCCTCGCACACACACCAACGGAGCTGCTCTCACAGGGGGACAGGTGGATTAATGGCCTCAGTCACACAGTGTGGCGATAAGGCTCAGAACCAGCCGAAGGGAGGGATTCCTGGGCAAAAAGGGACAGCTGGGAGATCGCTATCACAGCAGTGCAGCGCCCAAACCCGCAGACAGAGCGCTGCAACGCGTGGGAGACCCTTCTGCTGCTAAATTGAAAAACAAAACAAACCCCCTGAAAGATAAACAAGTACGGCACAGGAATACGCCTTTCCATTAATGAACACTTACCAGAGGATAAACAAGCAAAGGAATAAAGAACCGGGGAAGCTCAGAAATGTGGAGGCATTTGCTGAAACACAACTCCCCTAAGAAACGCAAAGCTCTGACAGACTGTTACACAACCTTTGATTTCTTTTAATAACAGTTGAAGGTCAGATGCCAGCGCTCTTCCTGGAAATCCTAAAAAGACTGGGTGGCTCCCCAAGTTAGCAGAGCCCTGCCAGCGGCACATTGTGCAACGCGGAGCCATTGAGCGCCGCGGATCGCGTTTCCCCCAGCAGCTGACTGAGGCACATTGCAGCGGGAAGGCCGCGCTGGCCCAGCGGCACGTAGGGCGGCCGCTGCTGGGTCAGGCAGAACCCCCGCGCGCCGCCGGGTTACCCGAGTTCGCGCCCGGCTATTGACATTCAGCGACGGTGCTTACTCATTACCGGATCAGCAGGGGACCGTCTGGCTCCGGGAGGTTAACCCTTCCCGTGCCCCGCGCTGGGTGCTTTTAAAGAAATAGGAGCTCCTGCTGAACGGCAGGGCGAGGGTGGTGGGGAAGAGCTTACTTGGAACGGGGAGGGGGCCAAGCGGGTGGCCCCGAGGAGCCATCAGACTACGAGGACAAGAGAAGGGACGCGGGCAGCTGGCCTCCACCTGGCCGGTTATCCACTCCCGTGTTAAGCAAGCAGGGGCAGGGGGTGCTGGCTGTAAAGGAAAGGAAGCATCCCACGGTGCAGCATCCTCCCAGTTAGGATGCCTGCATGTGAGGCAAGGGCCGCTGCCACCTCTCACTGCAGATGTTCGTGGGGTCACCGCAAGTCTCATAATGGTGTTTTCCATAATGACTCTGACCCTATTTATCTGAAAACTTTTAACTTCCAGTGCTTCTGGCTTTGCCTTTCATTGCCCAGGATGAGAGGTAACAGCATCAAGTTGTGCCAAGGAAGTTTCAGATTAGATGTTAGGAGAAACTTCTCTTTTTAGAGTGTTCAGGCTGTGGCACAGGTTACCCAGGGAGGTGGTGGAGTCACCACCCCTGGAGGTGTTCAAGAAATGTGCAGATGTGGCACTGCGGGACTTGGTTAGTGGGCAATAGTGCTGGTAGGTGGACAGTTGGATTAGATGATCTTAATGATCATCTAGGTCTCTTCCAGCCTTAATGATTCTGATACTATGAAGACTCCAGACAGGAATGTGGGTGGTCAAAGATTGTTACTTCTAGCTCATGATCCTCTTAGGACAGCCCTGTGGTTCAGTGGGAATGGCAGATTGATTTATGGATTCCAGTATTAGCAGTCCTCTAATAAATCACCACAACCCGCTAAGCTTATTTGTTTTATTTAGATCTTAAAAATAAAAATTGAAAATAGTTCTGTAATATGTGATAAAAGGAGCCCCTATTCTTTTTCCATCAAATCAAAGGCCCTTTTGTAAAAAGAGTCTGTATCATTCTGTCACTGAGAAGCACAGATGGTGAATAGCAGGTACACAAAATGCTCATACTACTCTTCACTTCACCTTCTATTGTAATTATATTGCATGCCAGGCTCCAAATGAAGTGCTGAATGTAGGTATCAGAATTCAAAGGAAATTAATTTTAAGAAATTTTAAATGTTAGTTCAATTTCACATTTTGAGAGTAATTTATATGTATCGCAAAATGTGCCAGGTGCTGGGAGGCTTATCAGGAGAGGAAAAGGTCTTATCATGGTTTATAATCACAGATGATTTTTTTGAAATAAATAATGAAATGTAAGTAAACAAGCATGGGAGTTTGCTTGCATCTGGCCTCAATTTGTCTTTATTAGTAATTTCTAATATTGAGAGCAAGGAAGATAAGATTTATAGCTCTTCTCAAAGACAGGCCAGTGTAAATTAGATGGATTGAGCCAGTTCCAAGAATAGAGAGGGAAAAGGCATGATCTTTGAAAGTGGTGAATGAAGTGTATTAGAAGGAGATACAGAAAGACACTAAGTTGTGCAAGTCCTTGAAGGTGAGGGAATAGACTTGAATTTAATAGGAAAGCCAGTGAAAGAACCTGAAGAATGGGATATAATCCAAGGGAAAGGTAAGATAGAAATGGGCTTAAGTAAAATATCAGGAGCAAAAAAAGAATATATGGCTTATTTATAGATGATAAACTTGCACGCTTAACAAGCATTGAGGAAGAGAAGGAACTTATGAAAGCCTGAGATTTAGTTTGTTGGCATGTGGCTTTCTTTTGCAGAGGGATATTCAGCAAGTTCAGCTGACAAAGTAAAGTAAGTTAGCAAGGCAAAGTGGAAACGAAGAAGTTAAACTGTTAAGTTTGTGAGAGATATTGGAAGCTGTGGAAGTGTGTCATAGCATGGGAATGGAGGAAAACAAGAAGTGTGAGGTGTTTCTGAAAGCTGGAGAACAGGTGGTTTTCAGGAAGGGAGTGCAGTCACTCTAAAATGGAAGGGAGGAAGAGCTTGCTGGTGGATGCTGGTAGTGCCGGAAGCCATTTCAAAGGGCTAATGGGAACAGAATGCAGGCTGCACATGGGGAGAAAATTGGCTGAATAGGGCCAGAAGAATTAAGGGCTTTTTTTTCACATGTTTAAGACATATGGAGGCAAAGAAAGGAAGCATATGGAGTGGCAGTGCAAAATGGGGCTGGGGTCAAAAGAGATGGTAGGGGAAACAATAACATGTTTCAGAAGCAGAGAAGAGTGGTTGAAGATGTCTCATTGTTTCTTCATGTTCCTCCATCTGCCAATATCCATCTGTTGTTTTTCTGTTGTACACTCAAATGTCAACTCCAGTAACTGTTTAATGTGAAATGGATAATCATGTCTCCCTCTCTCATTCATTTTTGGAAGACTACCGTGAAAAAAGAGAAGTGCATGTTCCACACAGCACTGGAAGGGTGGGGAGAACCCATTTGTTCTCTGTAGCCTAGAGCTTGGTGACTAAAGGATGCTGTTCTGGGAAGCGAGAAAGGTCAGATGTGAATCCATAAACCTGAGAAGGGCCCTGAACTTGTGTTTCCTGAAGCCCATCAAAGTGCTTAACCACTGCCCCATTCTATAAAAGGCACTGATGTCATCATCAAATCCCAAAGGAAAGGTGTAACAGGAGAATATCCTCTGGGGAGAGCATTTACTACCTCTCCGCAGCCAAGGACACTCAAGGTGAGGTATTGAAGACACCTGCTCTTGGTGGCTCTCTGCAGTTTCCTCTTTCCTTGCTGCCCTGACTAGTTTGAACCAAAGCTTGAGGCATCATAGTTTGCTACATGGAAGTTGGTGGATTTGTCTGGAGAAGTAATGTCACTGGTGGCTCCCTTTCCCACACCATAGCTGTAGATAATGTTTTGCATTTCGGAGGTGGATGGTGAAGATGTGTGCTGATGGTGCAGTCTCTGCAGGCCCCTGCTAGCTGCTGGAACCTCACTGATGCTGCTAGGAAGGCAGAGGAGGGGAGCATGTGGGAGGATGTGGTGCCTAGCACAATGCAAGAACAAGTCTGAGAGGCTGATCACCTCTTCCACATTTTGCGTGAGCAATGAGCTATCCCACTGCCACTACATCGGATTTTGCTCTGAGAGGCAGGTGCTTGCCCACTTTCACAGTCATCACTCCAGTACAGTAAGGTAAAAGATGTACACCTGCAACACCACTGGCAGTCAGTGACCTAAAAGGTGAATCCACACCACCACTCATTTCCGTCCTGGCCAAACACAGTGATTGCCAGGCTGCTTTGTCGAGCTGTGGCACAGAGCTGAGCCAGACCCACCCAGGTCAGCAGCATCAGTCCATGCCTGTTACATCCTCAGCTATGTATCTGCACTTATGATTTTCTCTGTTATGCTTATGATATTAGAATTTGTCTCGCTCTAGCCAAGACTCCTACTCTCCGTTCATGCACGAGCCTGTCATGCTATACAATTAGAGTGGAGTCAGGGCCTGATCTGTACTATAATTATAACTGAGTCAGTTACAACAGACTTGTCTCCTGACCTGGTTCCAAAATAGCACTACATTTTTTAAAGCAAAAGGGATTTTAGGTGTATTCTTCAACCATCGTAATGATTCACACACGTCTGGCATTTAAACCTGGTTAATTTCTGATAAAGCAACACTCTTATTAGCTTAAGCAGGAAATGGTCCAAACTCACTGTTCATTAGCATTCACTAAGCCAACTTCAAGCACCCTCTTTGAATGTCAGATATTTCCCGCTTGCATTCCTTCCCCACTTTGTATGTTTGCTGCTTCCTGGCATCCTTATCAGATGATAATGGATCAGTCTGGAGTGATGATGTCGCATTTAGATACTGAGTGGGACTAGTTTGGCTGGTCTGGGGTAATCAGGCCTTTTAACAGGGAAATGAATTTAAATAGGTCAATGAATCTTACAAGCCTGTGCATCAGGAATTATCAGCACTGCAGAACTTGCAGGCTGGGGGATAAATTCTCTTTCAAGCAAAAGTTCATTGATGCCACTAGAGCAGCAAATAACATTTCACTTATATTTAAACCATGCTTTGCCTTCATGGGCGGTTGGGAATCTTTTCAACTGGAATAAAGGTGCTTTTATTTTTGAAGTTGTGTACTAAATACTATTTGAAATTGGCTTGACAATCTTGTTAAAGCTAAGAAGGTGCTTACTTTATCTCCCTTTTCCTAAATCGCAACTGTAATACTTATCTCTTATTGCTCACCCTCTGCCTCCTCTGCTTTGAGCTGAATGAACCAAGGGACCTCAGCCATTCCTCATGAGTCTTCTCCTCCAGACCCTTCCCCATCTTTGCTGCCCTCCTTTGGATATTCTCCAATGCTTATTTTATTTTCTTTTCTGTATAGTGGAACACAAAACTGCAGTGTATTCGAGGTGTGGCTGCACCGGTGGAAACATTAAAGAGAACTGGCCCTAAAATGGAGCCCTGGGGAGCCCCTCTAGTGACTGACTGCAAGCCTGATGTAACCCCATTAACTATAGCTCTTTGGGCTCAAGCTGTCAGCCACTTGCTCACCCATCACATTATGTCTTTTTCCAACTGCGTGCCGGACATTTTGTCTGGAGGGATGCTGTGAAAAACATTTTCAAAAGCTTTACTGAATCCAGAAAGATAACACCAACTGGCTTCTTTTGGTCAGCTAGATGGGTGACCTTGTCATAAAACAAAATTAAACTAGTGAAACAGGACCTTCCCCTCATGAACCCATATTGGTTGTGACCAGTGACCTCATTGTCTTGAAGTGTTTTTCTGTAATTCCCAGAATAATTTT